ACGTTTCGGAATAAAGTTGTCTAACTGTTGCATATGTGTCTTACCTAACAACCTGTCGGTATTGTATACCATTTTGATGTTCACACATATATATAGTGGTGGGAGTCAGGTGAGGTGAAGCGTGGGTAGAGGGGGGTAATAGTAGTAGTAGTAGTAATTGAACTAAGGAGGTGGGGTTTTAGAGAGGGACCTGCTGGCATCAAGTAACCCCAGTTCCCGGGATGGGTAATATCCTCTTGCTTAGTAATTTTGAAATACTGTAACTACCGGATTTTTGCTTTATAGTGTTACTGACAGAAATTAGTGCAGCTTCAATGCATTTTCTCCGTCTTAAGTCGTCTTCTTTAATAACTAGTTTAGCTTCATTGAATTTCATGAGGTGTCCAACATCGTCTCTATGTTGAACACATGCGTTTTTGCGGTCATCATTTCTGCAAGCATTTTTGTGTTCTGCTATTCTAATGTCCAGAGTTCTGGCTGTTTCCCCTACATATACTTTGTCACACCCCCCACATGGTATAGTGTAGATTCCTGCACTTGTGCCAGAATCATGCTTGGGTTTTTGTATCAGGTTCCTAATAGTAGTTGAAGAGCTGGTAGATATTTTAGCCAGTTTTCTGTCAAACATTTTTGAAACATTAGTGGCAACGTTGCTGACCGGTAAAACGATGTAACTTGGAGGCTTTTCTTCAATTTGATAGGTGAACATTAAAATGGTATAAAATACCGACAGATTGTTAGGTAAGACACATATGCACCTCAAAACTTTAAGGGTGATGGACTGATTACATCGTCTTCAAGTATCTTCTGCTTCTATCAACTTTGCTGTACTCGACTGAAGAAGCCTACTGTGTAGGCGAAACGTTTCAAAATAAAGATACCTAACTGTTGCATATGTGTCTTACCTAACAATTTGATAGGTGTTGGTCTTGCTGAGGATACGTGTTGCACGTTTCCTGCAGTCACGTATGAAGTGTAGGGGAAAGTGTAGTGAACTAAAAGAGTTGGTGATGTATGTACATTCTTCTTCGAGGAACTGCGGACTGGAAATTCTGTAGGCTCTCAGAAAGAAGCCAATAACTACCCCTCTTTTAGTTCTTGTGTCATGGTGAGAGAAGAAATGTAGAAGATCATTCTTGTAGGTAGGCTTCCGGTAGACTTTAAAAGAAAGTTTGCTTTCCCCTGTGCGTAAGAGAACGTCGAGAAAAGGTAACTGGTTGTCCTTCTCCTCCTCTAGAGTAAATTTAATAGTAGGTTCCAGATTGTTGATGGTGTTGAGGATGCCCTGTACGTCAAGATTTTTGGGTACAATGACCAAAATATCATCTACGTACCGCATCCAAGTAACTGAAACGAGGGATGTTATTGAGGATCCTTCTTGATTCCAGGTCCTCCATATATAAATTGGCAAGAACTGCACTAAGGGGGGATCCCATGGCTAGTCCGAAGAGTTGTTTGTACTTCTTGTCCTCGAACCTAAAACAGTTATAACGAACACAAAGTTCGACAAGGCTCACAAAATCTTGGCGGGGTACAGGTAACTCTGTATCATCTTTAATCACCCTGCGAAGAAGATCAATGGCTTGATCAACTGGGACATTGGTGAATAAGGCAGTCACGTCAAAACTTGCAAGCTTCTTATCACTCATGTCGAGATCCCTGATACGGTTAAGGAGGTCACCCGAATGCTTTAGATGAGCCTGACTGATTGTACCCAGGAGCTTTGACAAATATTTCGCCAAAACTCCTGCTAGACTGTGAGGGGCGCAGTTTCTGAACCTAGTCGTCCAGTCATTCCTCGTCGCTACATCCAGGCACTCAAACACTTAGCTTCCAATAATGATATTCTCATCACCACAGCGGACAAAGGAGGAGGAGTGGTCATCCTCAACAGTACAGACTACGTTAGTAAGATGCAAGATTTATTGAACGACGCCAACACATACGTTTCCATCCCTGAACATGCATGGAGGAAAGAAACAGATTCTTTTCTCAGTAAGACCCGCAGTATACTCAGGAAATCAGAAGAAGGTAAAAAGCTCTTGCGCCTCATCCCTACCAACCCCAAGTCAGCTAGACTTTATGGTTTACCAAAGACCCACAAACCAAATGTGCCTATGAGACCCATTACATCTGGTATCGGCAGCGCCCTCACAGTCTAGCAGGAGTTTTTTGGGGAAATATTTGTCAAAGCTCCCGGTACAATCAGTCAGGCTCATCTAAAGCATTCGGGTGACCTCCTTAACCGTATCAGGGATCTCGACATGAGTGATAAGAAGCTTGCAAGTTTTGACGTGACTGCCTTATTCACCAATGTCCCAGTTGATCAAGCCATTGATCTTCTTCGCAGGGTGATTAAAGATGATACAGAGTTACCTGTACCCCGCCAAGATTTTGTGAGCCTTGTCGAACTTTGTGTTCGTTATAACTGTTTTAGGTTCGAGGACAAGAAGTACAAACAACTCTTCGGACTATGCCATGGGATCCCCCCTTAGTGCAGTTCTTGCCAATTTATATATGGAGGACCTGGAATCAAGAAGGATCCTCAATAACATCCCTCGTTCAGTTACTTGGATGCGGTACGTAGATGATATTTTGGTCATTGTACCCAAAAATCTTGACGTACAGGGCATCCTCAACACCATCAACAATCTGGAACCTACTATTAAATTTACTCTAGAGGAGGAGAAGGACAACCAGTTACCTTTTCTCGACGTTCTCTTACGCACAGGGGGAAAGCAAACTTTCTTTTAAAGTCTACCGGAAGCCTACCTACAAGAATGATCTTCTACATTTCTTCTCTCACCATGACACAAGAACTAAAAGAGGGGTAGTTAATTTGGCTTCTTTCTGAGAGCCTACAGAATTTCCAGTCCGCATTCCTCGAAGAAGAATGTACATACATCACCAACTCTTTTAGTTCACTACACTTTCCCCTACACTTCATACGTGACTGCAGGAAACGTGCAACACGTATCCTCAGCAAGACCAACACCTATCAAATTGAAGAAAAGCCTCCAAGTTACATCGTTTTACCGGTCAGCAACGTTGCCACTAATGTTTCAAAAATGTTTGACAGAAAACTGGCTAAAATATCTACCAGCTCTTCAACTACTATTAGGAACCTGATACAAAAACCCAAGCATGATTCTGGCACAAGTGCAGGAATCTACACTATACCATGTGGGGGTGTGACAAAGTATATGTAGGGGAAACAGCCAGAACTCTGGACATAGAATAGCAGAACACAAAAATGCTTGCAGAAATGATGACCGCAAAAACGCATGTGTTCAACATAGAGACGATGTTGGACACCTCATGAAATTCAATGAAGCTAAACTAGTTATTAAAGAAAACGACTTAAGACGGAGAAAATGCATTGAAGCTGCACTAATTTCTGTCAGTAACACTATAAAGCAAAAATCCGGTAGTTACAGTATTTCAAAATTACTAAGCAAGAGGTTATTACCCATCCTGGGAACTGGTGTTACTTGATGCCAGCAGGTCCCTCTCTAACCTCACCTCCTTAGTTCAATTACTACTACTACTACTATTACCACCTCTACCCACGCTTCACCTCACCTGACTCCCACCACTATATATATGTGTGTTTTCTTAGTTTTCTCTGTATTAGGACTGAAGAAGCCACTCGTGGCGAAACGTTTCCTTTAATAAATGTCCTGAACTGTACATAAGTGTCTTTTTCCACAGAAATATACCTAGTTGGATGAATCTTATTGTGGCTAGCTGGTCTAGTGGCTAGCGCGACGGGCTGGAGTTTTGAGACTCTATGACCGCGGGTTCAATCCCGGCCGGGGGTATGGTTTATTTGCAATCGTGTCATTACGATTTCTTAAGTCAAAGATTCCCATATGCTGCATAAGTGTCTCAGTCTTCAAGGCAACTGTCTTCAGGAAATTCCTAATGGTTATGACTATACCAAAATTTTTTAAAGTGGTGGAGGGGGTAAGCCGGTGGAAGGTCTCAGTCAGATGATAAGCTCCGGGTATGGGTCAGGTAACACTATCTTTATTGTCGAAACATTTTGCCTGCACAGTAGGCTTGTTCAGTCGAGTATAGAGGAGGCAGCAGTAGCAGTGTAGATGTAAAGACAATGTAATCAGTCCATCCCCCTTGAAGACGTAGTTCAGAGGTGGTCAGTCCCTCAGCCTGGAGATCTACTCCACAGTCATTCCTTGAGGGGTAGTCGAGGTGGTTCAGACATTTAAAGATGCTGGAACAAAATAGGAGAATAAAAGGACACAAGTGCAACTAATGTCACATTTATTGTGGCAACGTTTCGCTCTCCAGGAGCTTTATCAAGCCATTACCATTACCGGTAATGGCTTGATAAAGCTCCTGGAGAGCGAAACGTTGCCACAATAAATGTCACATTAGTTGCACTTGTGTCCTTTTACTTTACATATTGTCGGTAATTCTACCAACTTTATTACAAAATAGGAGAAGCTAACAGGTAGTCAAAAGATCAGACAATGTCTTTCATAGTGTTTTGCCAGCCAGTGGTTTCTTTGCTCCGACACAGAGAAGACAATGCAAGATGAGGGAGCTACTTAGTGTACTGTTGGTGTGTGTACCCACTGGTGCACCTCTCACCAAGGACCCACATCCAAAGGATCCCCCAACCAAAGGACCCCCACCCAAAGGACTCCAACCAAAGGACCCCAACCAAAGGACCCCCCAACCAAAGAAACCCCAAAGGACCCCAACCAAAGGACTCCCAACCAAAGGACCCCAAAGGACTCCTAACCAAAGGATTCCCAACCAAAGGACTCCCAACCAAAGGACCCCAACCAAAGGACCCCCAACCAAAGGACCCCCAACCAAAGGACCCACCCAAGGACCCATACCCCAAGGGTTAAGGAGTCCCAAGGACCCACCCTAAGAACTAAGGTCTCTCAAGGACCCATCCCAAGAACTTCTAAGGACTCCTAAAGACCCTAAAGAACTTACCCCAAGAACTAAGGACTCTTCCAAAGGACTCACCTGAAGGTACACTTAGTGACACGGGGAAAGATGCGTGTCATAGGGTCAACACGGTTCTCAGGGTCCATATCAGGGAAGTTGATGACCTCAGTTCCATACTTCATGAAGGTGCCACCCAGGAAGAGGTCAGTGAAGTATATGTTACCCACTGCCACCACCAGGCACAGTGCCTCACACACGAAGAACCTGTAAAATAACGTTAATGTTTATATTAGTAACATTTAAAATGTGGTGAACGGTTTTGAAAACCGACAAGTTGAAGAATTGAGACACTTGTGCAATATATGGGAATGTGTCTCAATTCTTTAATTTAAAACAATACTAAGACCTAAGCCAGACTGACAGCCAAGACTGACAGCCAAGACTGACAGCCAAGACTGACAGCCAAGACTGACAGCCAAGACTGACAGCCAAGACTGACAGCCAAGACTGACAGCCAAGACTGACAGCCAAGACTGACAGCCAAGACTGACAGCCAAGACTGACAGCCAAGACTGACAGCCAAGACTGACAGCCAAGACTGACAGCCAAGACTGACAGCCAAGACTGACAGCCAAGACTGACAGCCAAGACTGACAGCCAAGACTGACAGCCAAGACTGACAGCCAAGACTGACAGCCAAGACTGACAGCCAAGACTGACAGCCAAGACTGACAGCCAAGACTGACAGCCAAGAACTGACAGCCAAGACTGACGCCAAGACTGACAGCCAAGACTGACAGCCAAGACTGACAGCCAAGACTGACAGCCAAGACTGACAGCCAAGACTGACAGCCAAGACTGACAGCCAAGACTGACAGCTAAGACTGACAGCTAAGACTGACAGCTAAGACTGACAGCTAAGACTGCTATTTGTCAGAAAACTTAAATATGGAAAATATTTGCCTATCTCAGCAGTTATAACACCTTTAATCTAAGTCCTGTCAACCCACGATTACATTGCAGGAGGTTTATCAAGCCGTTACGTCTTGATAAAGCTCCTGGAGAGCGAAACGTTGCCACAATAAAAGTCACATTAGTTGCACTTGTGTCCTTTTACTTTACCTGGAGTTTACCTGGAGAGAGTTTCGGGGGTCAACGCCCCCGCGGCCCGGTCTGTGACCAGGCCTCCTGGTTAAACAACTTCGAGAAATCAGTGAAGACAACACCTGCGTTATGTCGAGTGCTATCTCTACTGATTCCTGGCTTTCAGGCCCCTGCCGTACGTACTCTTGAAGCTGTGCATCAACTTACCCACCTTGAGAACGCAAGTATGTACAGATTAGCACAAGAACATATGAAAGGACCTGCCTTGTATGGGCCAGTAGACCTTTCGCAGTGTTCCTCCAACAGGCCTACTAGCCCATACTCGGCAGGTCCTTTCCAAATCCAACCCAAATAAAAATATCTGCCCAACCCATCTCCAATGCAACCCAACCAACAAGCTTTGGTAACCCCCTTAGCACCTATTTGGTTCCTGTTGGTGAAGGCCCTTATCGTACCTACTCTTGAAGCAATGTTTAGTATTTATCAACCTTGAGAACACGAGTGTGTGAAAATTAACGCATGTGTCAACTACAAGCCAAGGTCGTCTTCTAATATCACAAACACATTTCACAACCAACCTACACACTGAATACTGATGTATACGATGTTTCGTTACTGACTCACGAATTCGTAAGGACATGATTGTAGACAAACCATACCACGGGTGGGGCTTGAACCCGCGGTTATAGTCGTAAAACTCCAGACCAACGCTAATTCCTTTAGTGTGGTCGAAGTTTGTTCCTTGAGTAGCACTGAAAACCAACTGGGTAAGTATTTTGTTGATGAGTTTGGGTTTGAGAATGGGCCGGTAGGCCTACTGCAGTCCTCCATTAATACTGGAGCATGTGATAGTTTTCCACTGTTCTCTACCCTTGCAAGACTAGGGTCAGGCTTCTTGACTGCCTGGTCAACCAGGTTGTTGGTGCAGTACTAACAAGCATGTACTAGTCATGAATACAAGATAGTAATATAACAAGTGTTAATATTACGGTTAGAGGGTCGGTCTGTCTGTCTCTTTGTCTGTCTGTCTCTCTCGTGTGTGTGTACTCACCTAACTGTGGTTGCAGGGGTCGAGACTCAGCTCCTGGCCCCGCCTCTTCACTGTGTGCTACTAGGTCCTCTCTCTCCCTGCTCCATGAGCTTTATCATACCTCATCTTAAAGCTATGTATGGTTCCTGCCTCCACTACCTCACTTGCTAGGTAGGTGTGTGTGTGTGTGTGTGTGTGTGTGTGTGTGTGTGTGTGTGTGTGTGTGTGTGTGTGTGTGTGTGTGTGTTAGAGACCTGCAGACTGTACCGTGCGTCTCGTCAGTGATCACCTTCCTGGTACATCTCTACTGAAACACAACTCAAATAACTAAAAACCAGATTTTATTATGGGTAAAAAAAATTGGCATTTTTTTTTTTGTCCAGTATATGAACATCTTTTTTATTTGAAACTGCCACACAAAATATGGCTGAAAAATGCGTCATTTTCATTTGTATCAAATAAGGATAGTTCTCAATGGAACGGAATCAGCAAGACATCCTATTGGGGCAAGTGTTCCACAAGGAAGCGTGCTGGGTCCATTGTTATAGAATGTCTACTTCAATGACCTTCTTCATCTCATCCCAGAATCACATACATATGCAGACGACTGTACACTGACATTCACTTATCCAAGAGAAGAAATGCCAGCTGCTCTAAGCTACATCAATCACCAGCAGAGAGCTATATCAGCTTGGAGAAATAGATGGCAGGTAACATTTGCACCTGAGAAAACGCAAATGATGATCGTCTCTAGGCACCATGATGGTAATGCTGGTGCAGTAGTAAGGATGAATGGGAGGGTGTTGGCACCTGGAGAAGAAGTTGATATCCTTGGGGTGAAATTTGACTCCAAACTAACCATGAAGAACCATGTTGTAAATCTTGCAAACAAGGCAGCCAGGAAGCTTACAGCACTTCGCCGTATCTCGCATCTGCTTGACAGTAGGGGTTGCAAGATCCTGTACGAGGCACAAGTACGCTCACACCTTGAGTATGCTCCACTTTCTTGGTTTGCCTGCCCCCCCTCTCATCTGCGACTGCTTGACAGAGTAGAGAACAGAGCAAGACGTCTCATCTCTCGCCTGGACCCATCCTGGATAGATCTGTCATTTCAGCAGAGCCTTCAACACAGGAGGGATGTGGGTGGCCTTACTGTTATGTACAAGGCCAATATTGTCAAAGTACCACACTTGGTTCCACTTCGAGGACAGCGTGAAGCAAGCTTCTATACCACAAGACGGGCAGAAAGCAGCAACTTCACTCTGGCTGCAACATTCTCCAGAACATCACTCCATCTGAGATCATTTATCCCCAGGATGACTCGAGTCTGGAACACATTCGTACAGCATTATGATGTCAACGAGATAAAGTCAGTTGATCAAATGAAAATGCTGACCCACAGATGGCTCCAACTTCATCCTGTTCCCTACTTGTATGTCTCATAACAATAAAAATGCTTTCAAATGAGCTGATGTAGGTAACAGCTCTTAGCTTGTCAATAAAGTTAGGAATCCTTAACCTGTAAATAGCTGTCAATAAAGCTAGAGATCCTTAACCTTGTCAAACCCTGTGTAAAAAAAAAAAAAAAAAAGACGCTGATCCCTCACTATCTCAATTACTGAGAGTGATAGTTGTGTGTGGATAGTCGTGTTATAAACCATGACGGCCATATCTGTCTATCCCATGCACTCCCTCCCTCTATCCTCCCTCTCCCCCTCCATCCTCCCTTCCCCTCACATCCACCATTCCACCCTCTTCCCCTCCATCCTCCCTTCCACCCTCTCCCTCTCCATCCTCCCTTCCACCCTCTCCCCCTCCATCCTCCCTTTCCCCCTCTCCCCCTCCATCCTCCTTCCACCCTCTCCCCCTCCATCCTCCCTCCCCCCTCTCCCCCTCCATCCTCCCTTCCACCCTCTCCCCCTCCATCCTCCTTCCACCCTCTCCCCCTCCATCCTCCCTCTCCCCCTCCATCCTCCCTTCCACCCTCTCTCCCCTCCATCCTCCCTCCTCTCCCCCTCCATCCTCCCTTCCACCCTCTCCCCTCCATCCTCCCTTCCTCCCTCTCCCCCTCCATCCTCCCTTCCACCCTCTCCCCCTCCATCCTCCCTTCCTCCCTCCCTCTCCCCCTCCATCCTCCCTTCCACCCTCTCCCCTCCATCCTCCCTTCCACCCTCCTCCCCCTCCATCCTCCCTTCCTCTCCCCCTCCATCCTCCCTTCCACCCTCTCCCCTCCATCCTCCCTTCCACCCTCTCCCCCTCCATCTTCCCTTCCTCCCCCTCCCCTCCCACCCAGTAGTTACATCATGGTGTCAAGTAACCAACATGTGTTTTCTAATTTACATTCACGAGGAAGAGTTAAAGCAGTAAGGGTCGCACAGCGAGGAAGGGAAGACTATCACCTTCCATCAGGTCACCTCCAACACCGTGGGTCAAGAGCCCTTCACAGCCGTCAAGGTACCTTGACAGGTACGTGTTCTATCAGCCAGGATAGTACCTATCCACTATCCTTACATAAACCAACTATCCACGTTAAGAGTGGTCATTTAGCATCAAGACTGAGGGACTGATTACCTCAAACCGCCTCTCCGCGAAAGTAATTTCCTATATTCGACTGATGAAATCTGCAGCGCAAGCCAATAACTGTCAATACACCTTGTGTTGAAGAATGACAGTGGTTTGTTCAGTCCAAAACAGTAAGATGAGTAGTTTGAGGTAATCAGTCCCTGGATAGATGTGTTCAGTCCAGCAAACTTGGACTACAACTACAGCCCAACACAGATCTTATTTCCATCCTTCTCCATCCTCCATCCTTACCAAAACTCTGGTCACGACCCACGAGATTATAACACGCAAATAAGCCAGGGAACGGGTGGGAGTTGAACCCGTGGCGAGTCCTTAAACACCAGGCGAGTGCGTTAACCACCGGACCACCTAACTAATAAGATCAATAATGGTAGACAATGTTAGAAAAATGGACACAGAAGCAACTAGCGTGAAACCATATCCCGGCCGGGATTGAACCCGCGGTCAGAGAGTCTCAAAACTCCAGCCCGTCGCGTTACGATTTCGTGAGTCAACTAAGGTGACATTCTATTTTGGCAACGTTTCGCTCTTCAGGAGCTCTGTTAGT